GAACATATTCAAAAGCAGTAGCGGGGGTTCTCTCCTGGAACCCTAAAAAAGATGGTGTGTCATTGCGGATTCTTCAATAGAACACCCTCCCCGCATATAACGCCAGTGGGTGTTCTATTTTGGCAGGTGTTATATACGGGAAACTACGGTTTATGATACCTAAGAAATAAATTACGGACACGTGGGCACGGGTGATTTTATCATACTATTTTAGTCTGGTTGTCTGAAATTTCAGACCATTTTTTTTCCCACTCCTGATTTTTCAGACTTTGCATTTTTTTTATATTGAGCCCTTCAGACTTGTACGATTTTGAATCCTGCGTTTTTAAGACTTTGCACTAAGCGGATACTAGGTTTCTAGAGTACAGCGTGTACGGACCCTGACACTCTATGCCTATATTCCTGCAACCCTGAAATTTCGGCCAAGTCTCCAACCCCGAGAGTAATTCCTCTCTCACACCCTGCAACTCATAAGATCCGGCTAAGTCCTAAGAGCCAGAGACAGTCCCCCAACATCCCCAGCAACCCATAAACATTTGCCTACAAGAAACAGCTAAGTCCTCTCCTAGCGACATTCCCCTTTACACCCACCGTAACCCACAAGAAACGGCTAAGTCCTCCACTTGTAGAGACACTCCTCCCACCCACACCACCACCCATGGAAAATCAGCTAATTATTCCATTTCTAGAGTCATTCCTCCCACACACCTCCCTACACAAAACATTTGCCGAGTTCTCTACAGCCTGACACATGTCCCTCCAACAACCAATCACACAGTTGCATTCCCGACCACAGACTTCTTTGGCATGATATATCAAGCAAAGGAAGCCCGGGAAGGCATGTCACCTTGGCCTTGCAACACGTCACAGTGAGCACCTCACCCGTAAGGGCGCTTTTCCTCCTAATGTCAAGCATTCTGACACCAATATTGACAGCTTCGATTATTACACGTCGTCAATGTTTCTGACATTTCAGGATCGTGACCATTCATAGCTTCAGTTCTAAAACCATGACAATAGGGGGAACGCGCCTTCACGAGAGGACATGAGCACCTTGCAGCAAGCGTGCTAATACCTGTTGCAGCAAAAAAAAAAAAAAAAAAACAGAAGGATCCTGCCCTTGCAAAGTTTATTTTTAGGAAAACTGAATATTATAGATATCAGGGTGCCAACCAGGGCCACATCAGATTTAAAAAAAGGTCCCTTGTGTTCAGTACATGTTGGGATTATCACTTAGGAGAACCCTAACAAACTGAAAGGATGACTAGAATGTGAGAGTACAAGGCATTATAACTTAGGGGGCTGTACTCTCTAAGGCACAACCCTATATGGTCTACAACATCACATACAAATGTGTTTGACACACCCCCTAGATTGGATAGGGGTAGTGTTTGTTGAGAAACAAGCAGCTCAGGGTGGCACTACTAGTCCAACCTCTGAAGCAAGGGTCTAAAGACCAGTCAAACAAGTACAAACCAAGGCAAGAGGTAGACCAGGGAGGCACTACTAGTCCAGCCACTTGGAGAGGCCACAATGCCAGTCAAGGTAAAATATATATAAAGGACTGTGCACAATCAAGGTCCTCGCAAGTGAGAGGCTACAGGAACGAGACCTAGCTGTACACAGTGCCGCTGATGATCTTTAGGCGCAAGCGCCTTCGTAAAGATATCAGCTGTGTTGGCACCGGAGGCCAAGTGTACTACGCGAACCTGGCGGCGCTGCTGTAGCTCGCGCAGGAGGAAGTACCGCAGCTGGATATGCTTCGCTCTGCCCTCAAGTCGAGACTCCTTACATAGGAGGATCATGGCCCTAATGTCAGCGTACAGGACCGGAGCAGAGCTAGGCCGCTCACCTAAGTCAGTGAGCAAGAAGGTCAGCCAATGGAGCTCCTGTGCCGCCATGGCACCAGTGTAGATCTCGGCCTCACAGCTGGACTAGGCAACAGACGAGGAGCAAGTAGCTCTCCATGAGACGGCACCTGAACCAAGGCTAAAGCAGTAGTGTCTCAGCGTCGTCTACCCAAGAAGCGTCAGTGTACCCAGTAAGGACCACTGGCCTACGTCCTCCTAGCACTTACCCCATGCCCAATCTACTTGCTATATAACGCAAAACCCTCTTAGCCGCCGACCAGTGCTGTGGTCGGTGTCTGCCTGTGGCCACAAAGCGAGCCAGGATGCTAAGAGGGTATGCAAGATCTGGAGGAGTGCAAGTCATCAGGTACATGAGGCAACCCACCAGCTCTGCGTAAGGACCACTGGGCTCTATTGACTCCTCAGGAACTGGAACTGAGAGCCTGTGATCTACTGACAGAGGTGTGGGCTGTGCGGAGGAGAACAGAAGACCGAACCTCTGAAGGACTTGGCGCACCAAGTGTGAGTGGGTGAGAGTGATGGTGTGCGCTGCTCTGTCCCTGGAGATCTGGAGGCCAAGGTTGTGGGGCAGTTCTCCTAGGTCAGTGCAGGTCTGTCTCTTCAGCAGCTCTGCATTCACGGAGGCCAGTTCGTCCCTATCTGCAGTGGCGAAGACCAAGTCGCTACGTAAACAAGGATGTAGAACGGAGTCTGGCCAGCACGAATGAAGAGCGAGGGGTCTGCAGAGGATCGAAACAACTGCAGGTCAGCAAGGGAAGCACGCAGCATGTCGTGCCACTCCCAGGGCGCCTGTCGCAAGCCGTAGACTGGGCGCCGCAATAGCCACTGGGTCCCAGGAGGGAAGGTACCAGTGAAGCCCTGAGGGCGGTGCGTGTAGACCTGTTCGTGTAGGCTGCCCTGAAGAAACGCAGTGGAGAAGTCGAGAGAGTGTAATGTAAGAAATAGAGTTGAAAATGATTGATTAGGTAAGGAGCCCAAGGCTCTATAAGTACATGGCAAGGTGAGAGAGAATGGATGAAGGGGGAATTGGAGGGAATCCCCATTGGGATCTTCGGAATCTCCAATTGGGTAATTGGAGATTGGGGGGATCACAATTGGGTGAGGTTGGGGTTTGTGAGTACACCCCAACCCACTAGAACATTCATAACATAAACTAGGATATAAAAGTACAAATACAAAAGTGGTATTTGCAGTGTATTTCTAACACACCCCCATAGACTGCAAACCTGATCAAGGAGCACATAGCCCTATGGAACCGAGAAGGCGATGGTGGTCAGCCTTGCCGAGAGCCTTGGTAAAGAGGTCGGCGAGGTTGCAATCTGAGGCGATGTACCGTACCGTCAGCTGGTCACTCTGAACAAGATCTCGGATGAAGAAATGATGAAGTTCGATGTGCTTGGTGCGAGAGTGGAACACTGGATCCTTGGTGAGGTGAATGGCACTCTGGTTGTCACACCACAGGGTGGGCGACTGCTGGGGGTAGCCTAACTTGTTGCTTAGAGAAGGCTATAAGCAGATGATTCAATGGCTCCTTGGAAATTTCTGCAGCACTTCGTTATGACGCCCAGAAAACTCGCGACCTTCGAAAAGCTATATCCAAAACTCCAATCGGTGAAACAATCTGAAAATCGCATATGTTGTAGCTTGCAGCGTCAGCTTTTCTCTGAAAGTTGAATCACTCGATTCCGTAGCTTAACGAGTGACCTATGGCGTTTGGCGCACTGGGGGGTAATCTGCCCCATGAGAAGTTGACAATCCTCAGAGTCACTATGATTGAAGCTTACAAGTTCAGAGGCATGATAGAAAAGACATTGAAGCACAGTTGGAAGGTAGGGATGGAAGGGAAGGATGAAAGGGAAGGACCCTGGAGGCCCATGGTCAAGAACATGACAAGAGTCAAAGTCTTGACTCCCCATCCTCAGGTTCAGCCAGCTTGGCAAGACAAAATTCACACTGTACCAGGTTGGCCTCCAAACCCCAAATGCTGCAGCTGCAGGGTGGGGACAAAAGTCCCACACATGCTGGTCCCTCCTCGTTATAGGGCTCTCCAACTTTGGTGTAGCAGCTGACAAGGACTTCCAATGAGTTGTAACAAATCCATCAAACATTTCTTCGTAACTTCTTCATATGTGCTCCGATTCCAACAATTCTTGGCTCGTTGGAATGTGCTCGATGTCATGCACAAACCAAGCACATATGCACAAGCACAAGATGAACATGCAAAGACATGCAAACCCAACAAACCATACAAACAATGTAGCACACAAAACACATGCAACGAAATGATGCGAACAGACGACAGGATGACGTGCAAACGAATATGCACCAACATAACTCAGCGAGGAGAAAGGAGAGCCAGCGTGCCTCTTGAGCAGCCATTGTGCCCGCGTAGAGCTCGGCCTCGCAGGACGACAGGGAGACTGCAGAGGACCGAGTAGAGCGCCAGCTGATGACTCCGCTACCAAGGGTCAAGTAGTACCCATGGGAGGAGCATCTGTCAATCTGGTCATCGGCCCATGAGGAGTCTGTGTATCCCTCGAGCCTTCCACTACTTCTTATAAGGCCCCGAGAGAGCTTCCTCTTTTGTGCGAGCAGTCGGAATGGTCGGGTTCTCGGTGAAGTTGAGGGAAGGGCAGTCACTAATGTCCGGGAAGATGTGAGAGAGAAATTGGCAGACCGCGTGAAGGCCAAACAGCTCCTCATGCCTGTCCTCCAGAAGTGCACGGGGGGGAAAACGGATGGAGGGGACATCACCCCCGGCAGGAGGAGGCGGGGTGACCGAACACCGGATGGAGAAGGCGGCTGGTCCCCATACGAGAGGCGCAGCCGGTCCCTTGGAACGGGTGCGACTAGAGACCGGAGACGAAGGCGGCTGCGGTGGGACCGGAGGGACTGGGCGCCTCCGATAGGAGACTGGTGAGCCGGGCTCGACGCGCGGGGAAGGCGGAGCAGGAGGAGTTGCCGCTGCGGAGGATACCGGGGAGGCCGGGTGAGACACGCCGTCGGAGAAGGCCCCGGAGAAGGGGCAGCGGCCGGAGGTGGGGCATCAAATTCTGCCCAAACAAGCGTCGGGGGAGGTGGAGGAGGCTCGCCCGTGGTTGCAGAGTGGAATGGGCGTGACTCATCGAAGACGACATCACGGCTGCGAATCAGCTGTCAGGTGATTGGGTTGAGGAATAAGTAGTCTGGGGAGTCGGAGTTGTGCCCCAGGTACATGCAGGTCTGGTTTTTAAGACCAAGCTTGCCACCTTGCTTCCTGCGCGTGTGGGGGCTTAGCAACACATACGCGGTACACCCCCAGACGCGTAGAGAGCGGGCGGAAGGCGTGACCCCAAGCCAGAGAGCGGTAGGTGTGGTGTCGGGCCGGTGGGGATGCGGATAAAGATTGTAGAGGAGTGCCGCATGGAAGAGGGCATATCCCAAGAGTGACCGTGGTGCGTTGGCGTGACTGAGGAGGCAGCGAGCGATCTGAACCAAGGTGTGGTTGCGGCTCTCTGCAATGCCGTTCTGCTGCGGGCTTTCGGGGAGCATGAAGGTTTGCCGAATCCCTTGGGCCGCACAGAAGTTATCGAGTTTGCCATTGCGAAATTCTCCCCCGCCATCAGAATGGACGCAATTCAGAGGAGTGCCGAACGTGACTTGAGCCTGGCGCACCCACGCCATGATGACATCAGGTGCCTCTGCCTTGGTATGCAGGAGGTGCACAGAAACCTACCGCGAGTGGTCATCAACTAGTGTAAGAAAGTACCGATGACCGCCTTGGGATGCGACTGGAGCTGGGCCCCAGACATCCATATGCACTAGGTCCAGCGGAGCAGCTGCGACGGATGGGGAGGAAGGGTGCGGCAGCTGCCTGAGCTTGCTCTTGGTGCAGTCCAGGCAGGTGGGTGCAGGTGAGTCTGTTGGTGGAGGAAGCGCCGACGGGAGGCCAAGAAGTTTCTTGGAAGCGATGTCGGCAAGTGTACGGAAGTTGGGGTGACCCAAGCGATGGTGGTAGAGGAGCAAATAGTCGCTCTGATACCATGTAAGAAATAGAGTTGAAATGATTGATTAGATAAGGAGCCCAAGGCTCTATAAGTACATGGCAAGATAAGAGTAAATGGATGAAGGGGGAATTGGAGGGAATCCCTATTGGGATCTCCGGAATCTCCAATTGGGTAATTGGGTCACCCCAACTTCCGTACACTTGCCGACATCGCTTCCAAGAAACTTCTTCTTGGCCTCCCGTCGGCGCTTCCTCCACCAACAGACTCGCCTGCACCCATCTGCCTGGACTGCACCAAGAGCAAGCTCAGGCAGCAGCTGCACGCTTCCTCCCCATCCGTCGCAGCTGCTCCGCTGGACCTAGTGCACATGGATGTCTGGGGCCCTGCTCCAGTCGCATCCCGAGGCGGTCATCGGTACTTTCTTACACTAGTTGATGACCACTCGCGGTATGTTTCTGTGCACCTCCTGCATACCAAGGCTGCTGCAGTGGCTGCTGCTGAGGTTGCTGCTGCACCTCCTGCTGCGGCTGCTGAGGTTGCTGCAGTGGCTGCTGCTGCTGCTGCTGTGGCTGCTGCTGGTGCTGCTGCTGCACCTCCTGCTGCGGCTGCTGTTGCTGCACTGCCTGCGGTTGCTGCTGCTGCTGCTGCTCCATCCGCTGCTGCACCTCCTGCTGCTGCTGCTGCTGCTGCTGCTGCTGCTGCTGCTGCTGCTGCTGCTCCATCCGCTGCTGCTGCTGCACCTGCTGCTGCTGCTGTTGCTGCTGCTGCTGCTGCTGCTGCTCCTTCTGCTGCTGCTGGTGCTGGTGCGATGAGGCAGAGTGAGCAGGGGAGTCAGGGACAGCTGGGTCGTAAATGTCACCTGAGGAAGGAGGAGGGGGAGGAGCAGGATTTGGAGGAAGGAGGGGAGCCTGGGGAAGGAGTGGGGGAATGACAGCATCAGCCCAGGTGAGGGGGCGGGAGAGAGGAGGAAGGGGGTTGGAAGGCGGAACAGAATGATAGAACGGGATGCTCTCATCGAACACCACGTCACGGCTCTGTAGGAGGCGGCCTGAGGACGGGTGAAGGAAGAGGTAACCAGGGGCAGAGCGAGCGTGGCCAAGGTAGACACACTCAATGGCCTTGGAGGCGAGCTTTCCTGCCTGCCGAGAGCGGTCAGGTGGGGGGATGAGGACATATGCCTTGCAACCCCAGATACGGAGAATGGCAGCATCTGGCTTGGTGCTAGCCCAGAGCTCAGTGGGAGTGACAGACTGGCGTTGAGGATGTGGGTAAAGATTAGTAAGGAGAGCAGCATGGACAAGGGCATAGCCCCAAAGAGAAGGGGGCGTGGAGGCATGAGTGAGGAGGCAGCGGGCCGTCTTGGTGATCTCACGAATGCGACTCTCAGCAACACCGTTCTGCTGAGGGGAGTGGGGAAGGGTATGAGTCTGCTGGATGCCATGGGTTGAGCAGTAGGAGGAGAGGGTGCGGTTGAGAAACTCACCACCGCCGTCGGAATGGAGGCGGCGGATGGGGCGACCAAAGTGGACTCGGCACTGCTCGGCCCAGGTAACGATGACAGCAGGGGCCTCGGCCTTCGTGTGGAGGAGGAACACCGAGGAGTACCTGCTGTGGTCGTCGACTAGGACAAGCATGTACCGGTGCCCTTGGCGGGAAGGGGAAGGGTTAGGGCCCCAGAGGTCCATGTGGACGAGGTCAAGGGGGGCAGCAGCAAAGGAAGGATGACTGAGGTGAGGCTGTTGTTTGAGCTTTCCATGAATGCATGTGGCGCATGGGGGAGCGGAAGAGGACGGGAGGGGAGGAAGAGTGGGGGGAAGACCGTTAAGCAAGCGGGAGGAGACGGCTTTACGAAGTGTGGGAAAGTTCATATGACCAAGGCGGTGGTGGATGAGAACAGCGGGGTGGGACAGTGCGCGACAAGAGCATGGGGAGGAGGTGGAGTTGGAGGAAGGTGGCTCTAGAGGGAGGGAGGGGGGAGAGTGGAGGTGCCTGCACGAGTGGTCACGTGGCATGAGGAGGGGCGGGATGTGCGGAGGATGTATTGACGAGAGCGAGGGCAAAGTGGGAGGCGATGAAGGAGGCGGCGAGTGGGGCCGTGGAGGAGGTCACAGTAGGTGGCAGAGGCGGGGAAGAGGGTAGTGATGCCAGCCTGTTGGAGTTCACGAATGGAGAGCAGGTTATGACGAAGGGAGGGAATGTGGAGACCAGTGACCACTCCAGAGGGGAAGGGGGGGCAGGGGAGGGTGGAGAGATGAGTGCAAGGGATGGAGAAGCTGGAATCAGCACCATGAACGTTGGTGGGGAAAGGGAGAGAGGTGAGGGTGCCGGCGTCTTTGAGGGCAGTTTCAGTGGCACCACTATCGAGAACAAAGTCAATCGTGAGCGAGGAGGGAGCTGAAGACACGGGGTACTGGAAATCACTGGCATTAAAAACAGAGGGATACATGGAAGTGGAAGCAGGGGAAGAACGCATGAGCTCGCCTAGAAAGCTGGAGTGGGAGGCGGGAGCACTAGGGGAAGGAGAGCCCCAGAGGGGAAAGCCAGGAGGACCTGGTGTGGCTGTGGCAGCCATGGCGGCGGTGCCAAAGCCAAGCTGCTGCTGCTGCCATGCAGATGCTGCGGCTGCGGCTCCTGCAGCTGCGGCTCCTGCAGCTGCGGCTGCAGCCTGACCACCAGAGCCCCACTGCTGCTGCTGCTGCAGCAGCTGCAGCTGCTGGAAGCGGCGAAACTGCTGCAGCTCCTGGGGAGTTATGGGGTCAGCGACAGAGGAGGAGGAGGAGGAGGAGAGCTGAAGATGAGAGGGGAGGAAAGACGGAAGAGTTTTGACATCCTGGAGAGAGGGGCGGGGATCCATGGCAGACCAGCGTGGGGGTGTGCCAGTGTTGCCGCGCTCGAACCAGGTGTCATCATACGCCTTGAAGCAGGTCACGGGGGGATGGTTGGTTTGGGTGCAGCGCTCACCCGCCCTGGGACCAAAACGGCGAAGATAGGAACATGGGGGGAGAGTGCCAGGGCGGCCACCACGGCTACCAGATGAGCCACTACTGCCTCCACCACCACCACTGCTGCCACCCTCGACCCCGCCACCACCGCCGCCGGCTCCGCTGCCCCCACAATCGCCACCTCCACCCCCTCCCTGAGGGTTGGTGCGGCCGCCACGTGGGCGCCCGCCACGACGCGGCTGTGTGACTGCAAGCTGGGGGTTTTGGGACTCGGTGGAGTTCAGGCCGGAGGGGGGGGTTGAGAGAAGGCGGGCCTCAGCGTCAATGATCCATTGGACCACAGTGTCAAGGGAGGCGCGGGGCTGAGCCTCAGTGAAGGCGATGACGCGCACTTCATATTGAGGGGAGAGGCCTTCGAGGAGACGGTAGATCTGAAGGTTGGGGGGGAGAGTAGTCTGGCGAGCCTCAAGGCGGGAGGCAAGGTCCAGGAGACGGCTGGTGTAGTCAACGGCGCCAGCACTATGTTCGATCGTGATGCTGAAGTATTCCTTGAAGAGCGGTCCGACAGCATCGAAGTCGGTGCGTTCGAACATTGCCTCAAGCTCGAGCCAGATCTGGCGGGAGCCGATGCGACGTGCCTGGAAGTTGCGCATGAGCGCAGACGGTATGGCAAGGAGAAGGGCACCAGTAGCACGGCTGTCCGCCTCGAGCCAGGCGCGACGACGCTCAGCAAATCGCGCAGAGTCAGCGGCATAAGCGGCGGCGGTAGCGGCATGCTGGGTGCGGAGGGTTGCCGACCGCTCGTGTTCCTCCAACGCGATCAGGTAATCAGTATGGAGCACGAGGAACTCACGACGCTGAGTAAGGAAGAGCTGCTCAACTTCAGCGGTGGCAGCGCGAGTGCTGGTGCCAACGGGTACTATGGGGGGCGGAGGTTCCTCGCCGGGATGGGGAATGAGAGGGGGGGGATCGCCAGGGTGAGGCGGCGGGTCCCCAAGGTCACCCTCTGGGAGACCAAGCATGATGTCCAGGAGGCGGAACGGCAGGACATAAGCACTGCCGAGGACGCGGTGGAGGCTGCCGACGAAGGAATACCTGTTGGTTGCTGAGTTGTCGGCAGCGCGCACGAGATGATCGAGGGTCGAGACGTCGACGGGAGGGGGAAAGGATGCCATTGGTGACACGGAGTGGGAGGAAGGCGACGGCGGGTGGACCCGCGGTGGCCGGGAGGGAGCGGCGGCGGGTGGACCCGCGGCGGCTCAAAGAGGAGGGGAGGATGGGGATGGCTGTAGATACTGCTGCTGCTGCTGCACCTGCTGCTGCTGCTATTGCTGCTGCTCTGCTGCTGTTGCTGCTGCTGCTGCTGCTGCTCCTTCTGCTGCTGCTGCTGCTGCTGTTGCTGTTGCTGCTGCTGCCGCTGCTGCTGCTGCCACTGCTGCTGCTGCCGCTGTTGCTGCTGCTGCTGCTGCTGCTCCTTCAGCTGCTGCTGCTGCTGCTGTTGCTACTGCTGCTGCTGCTGCTGCTGTTGCTACTGCTGCTGCTGCTGCTGCTGCTGAGTCTGCTGCTCCTTCTGGTGCTGCTGCTGCTTCTGCTGCTGCTGCTACGGCTGCAGCAGTGGTAAGGCGGCGATGAGCAGGTGCAGGTGAGGATGCAAAAGATGGGGAAAGATGGCAGTTAGCTGATGAAAATAGGACTTGGTAGAAATTCAGTAGCACTTCGTGATCACATCCAGGAAAGTGTGCAAACTTCGGAAAGCGATATCTGACAATCCAAGCAATGAAACAGTCCGAAATTTTACGACGTTGTAGCTGACACCAAGAGCGTTTTTTTGCAAGTCGAATCACTCAATTCTGTCAACTATCGAGCGAGCTATGGCGTTTGGCGCATTGGGGGTTTTTGAAAATCCACCCAACAGAAAACTAGTTGAGAGGCGGCGGCTAGGAGTCTAGCAGCGGCGATGGAGGGGACGGCAATGAGGTGCACGTCGGAAGGGGACGGGGCGGAAGCGTGGGGAAGGATCGGGATTTAAAAGTTGGCGTCAGCCATTATTGCTCTATACCATGTTAGAAACAGAAAGGTTCAGTTTATTGATGAAGCAAAGGCATTACATAGGAAGAGAGGGATGAGCTAGGAAGGGAAGGTTGGAAGGGAAAGGGGGGTTAGGACCAATCACAAGGGAGGGAGGATCCTTCCAAATATGGTTGACCACCAGTTGGAGGTGGTCCAAATGTGGTGTACCACCAGTGGTTTAGCCAACCCACTTGTGGTGCCCCCACAATTGTGGTCCTTGTGTTTGGGGGCTCCAACCACAATTGGGTTGGATTGACACCCCAACACAGGTGTACACCCAACTAGGGATGTAACCACAATATACACAACTAGCATAGCATGGTATATTCTAACAACCTCCTCCTGCTCCGCCTTCCCCACGCGTCGAGCCCGGCTCACCAGTCTCCTATCGGAGGCGCCCAGTCCCTCCGGTCCCACCGCAGCCGCCTTCGTCTCCGGTCTCTACTCGCACTCGTTCCAAGGGACCGGCTCCGCCTCTCGCCTGGGGACCAACCGCCTTCTCCATCCGGTGTTCGGTCACCCCGCCTCCTCCTGCCGGGGGTGATGTCCCCTCCATCCGTATTCCCCCCCGTGCACTTCTGGAGGACAGGCATGAGGAGCTGTTTGGCCTTCACGCGGTCTGCCAATTTCTCTCTCACATCTTCCCGGACATTAGTGACTGCCCTTCCCTCAACTTCACCGAGAACCCGACCATTCCGACTCCTCGCACAAAAGAGGAAGCTCTCTCGGGGCCTTATAAGAAGGAGTGGAAGGCAGCAATGAATGTGGAGAACGAGGCGTTCATTCGCAACAGCAGCTTTGACGATGTTGTTCCCCCTTCCGGTGTCAACATCGTCAGCGGAAAATGGATCTTCCGAGTCAAACAACTCCCAGGCGAAGCTCCACTGTTCAAGGCACGATACGTGGCGAAGGGTTTCACCCAGAAGGAGTATCTCGACTTCTTCGAAACATTCTCGCACACGGCCAAGCTCCCGACTGTGCGCGCTCTTGTTGATATAGCCGCTCGCGGCAACTTCGAGATCAAGTCCATGGACGCCTCCTCCGCCTTTCTCCAAGGCCAGCTCAAGGAGGATGTTCACATGGAACGCCCACCGGGGTTTCCTGGCACTTACCCTGCCAACACAGTGTGGAAGCTGAAGTGCCCAGTGTATGGCCTCAAGCAGATGTTGGTTAGAGAAGGCTATAAGCAGATGATTCAATGGCTCCTTGGAAATTTCTGCAGCACTTCGTTATGACGCCCAGAAAACTTGCGACCTTCGAAAAGCTATATCCAAAACTCCAATCGACGAAACAATCTGAAAATCGCACATGTTGTAGCTTGCAGCGTCAACTTTTCAATGAAAGTTGAATCACTCGATTCCGTAGCTTAACGAGTGACCTATGGCGTTTGGCGCACTGGGGGGTAATCTGCCCTAGGAGAAATTGACAGTCCTCAGAGTCACTATAATTGAAGCTTACAAGTTCAGAGGCATGATGGAAAAGACATTGAAGCATAGTTGAAAGATGGGGTAGGAAGGGAATGATGAAAGGGAAGGACCCTGGAGGCCCTTGGTCAAGAACATGACAAGAGTCAAAGTCTTGACTCCCCATCCTCAGGTTCAACCAGCCTGGCAAGACAAAATTCACACTGTGCCAGGTTGGCCTCCAAACCCCAAATGCTGCAGCTGGAAGGTGAGGAAAAAAGTCCCACACATGCTGGTCCCTCCTCGTTATAGGGCTCTCCAACTTTGGTGTAGCAGCTGCCAAGGACTTCCACTGAATTGTAACAAATCCATCAAACATTTCTTCGTAACTTCTTCATATGTGCTCCGATTCCAACAATTCTTGGCTCGTTGAAATGTGCTCGATGTCATGCACAATCCAAGCACATCTGCACAAGCACAAGATGAACATGCAAAGACATGCAAACCCAACAAACCATACAAACGACGTAGCACACAAAACACATGCAACGAAATGATGCGAACAGACGACAGGATGACGTGCAAACGAATATGCACCAACACACTCCCCCTCAGACTGTCGGCTTGTTTCGCCGTCTCTAGTTCAAGGACATTCCCGCCATCCTCGCACAGCGCCAGTGTGGCTCTTCAGCTAGCCGCTTGGTAAGGAAGTCGGCTGGCTGTTGCTGAGTTTTCACGTAGATCGGATTCAGTGTCCCAAGCTTCACCTCCTTCCGCAGCCAATGCCACTTGATCCTCATGTGCTTGTTCAACCCATGAAGAACTGCATTGCGTGCCATGGCAATGGCTCCCTTGCTGTCACCGAACAGAGGTGTCGCACAAGTCTGTTCATGGCCGATCTCCTTCAAGAGCCTCCTTAGCCAAATGATTTCATTTGCCGCATGAAACATCGCCATGTACTCAGATTCCACTGACGATAGTGCCGTCTCAGACTGCTTCTTGGACCTCCAACTTACAGGCCCACCTCCCACCATGCAGATGTATCCACCAACTGATGATGAATCCTCATGCTCAGAAGCCCATGTGGCATCAGCAAAACAGGAAAGGAACACCTCTCCTTCTCCGAGCTGCTCCCCCTTCTCTTTGAGGACTTCAACTCCTTTTTGACTGAGTTGAGCAGATGCTGAATACTGTACTCCCACTGTAGGGTATGACTTGAGGTAGCGCACCACTCTCTTCGCTGCACCACACTGCTCTTCTGTTGGATTTTGCACTACTCGAGCCAGCTGTCCCACAGCAAAGCTGATGTCAGGCCGAGTATGCACAGCAGCGTAGAGTAGGCTCCCGACCATGGATTGGAATTGCCTCTGGTCTTCACTCTCAACTCCTTCTCCTTCAGCTTCTTTTATGAGTTTGAACTCGGAAGGCAAAGGTGTGACCACTTCCCGTTCTTCCTGCAGAGAGTACTTCTCAGCCAAGGTATTGATGTACTGTCCCTGATGCAGTTGCAGCCAGCCACGTTCAGTATCCCGCACAATGTGCATTCCCAGGTAGTATCTTGCCTCTCCAAGTGACTTGCACTTGAACTGCTCTGTGAGCTTCCGCTGCACCCCATCGATCTCCTTGTCACTGCTGCTGAAGAGCAGGATGTCATCCACGTACACCAGCAGAAGCACAAGTGACTCCCCCTCGCCCATCAGGAATAGGCTCTCGTCGCATGCACTCGCACGGAATCCAATCCCTTCCAGTGCACTGGCCAGCCTGTTGTACCAGCATCTCGGGGCCTGCTTCAAGCCATAGATGGCCTTGTTAAGTTTGCAGACACGACCGGTTCCATCCTCATAGCCAGGTGGTTGAACCATGTACACCTCCTCTTCCACAATGCCGTACAGAAAAGCGGTTACGATGTCTATCTGCTTCACCTTCCATTTGCGCACAGCAGCTACCGCCAGCAGCACACGTAGCGTTGGAGACTTAGCAGTTGGGGCAAACACTTCTTTGTAATCTTCCTTCTCTTTCTGCTGAAACCCCTTTGCCACCAGCCTGCTCTTGTAAACTGATGGCTCTCCTTTCTCATCCGTCTTGATTTTTGCCAGCCACTTGCACTGTATTGCCTTCTTCCCATTTGGCAAGTACACCAGGTCCCATGTGTGATTCTCCATCTGGCTGTTGTACTCTGCATCTCTTGAAACGAGCCACTTCCCCCGTTGAGGCCCGGCTAGCGCATGATCCATGCTCGGAGGTTGTATTGGTGCGTAAAAGCAGTATGCAGGCTCCTCGTCATCTGACTCTTGGTCATCACCCAAGAACAGCACTGCATCTTTGCCTTGAGCCTGTTCCTGCTGCTCAGTTGTGGCTCCTCCACTTGTAGAGCTCAGCAGCTTTCTCGTTGCCATTCTGCATCGCACAGCATCCAGCAAGGTAGGCCCGAAACTAATTCAGTCCGCCTACCACCCATAGACCGACGGGGGACTGAACGAGTCAACCAAACTATGGAGCAACTCATTCGGACTACCTGTAAGGACCCAGAGACAAGGGAGAAATCCCTACCGCTACTGGAATTCGCGTATAATAACAGGCCTTCCGCCACGACTTATCAATCCCCATTTTTCCTCAATTACGGATAGGACCCTGTGGTACCCCTCTACACCAGACATCGAGACCCCCATGCCCTGGTCCCAGCGGTTTGCCAAAGACATCCTCGCAGCCCGAGAAAAAGAAGCTGAAGCAATCCGGAAAGCCAACTTGGTCGCAAGCCGACAAACCGATCGACATCGACGTAACGTCACTTACTAAGTGAGAGATCTCATACTACTCGACACTCGCAATTTGCGTCTGCCGATCCCGAGCAAACTCCGACCTTGATTATGTGGTCCCTTTCAAGTGACCAATATGGTGACACCTGTCACCGCTCACCTCCGACTCCAGGCGGATTGGCGTCACCACCCGGCTTTCCACGTCAGCCTCCTTTGACCCTACGTTTCAAGTTCGTCGGATTTGGCACGTCATCTCAAACTGAAAGAATAAACTAGAATGTGAGAGTACAAGGCAATATAGGCAAGTATGTTGTACCCTCTACGGCACAAACCTATATAATCTACAATAACATACTAAGTTATGTTTGACACACCCCCTAGACTATATAGGGCCAGTGCCTAACAAGTGAACAAGCAGCTCATGGCGGCACTACTAGTCCAGCCTCTGAGGCAAGGGTCTTAAGACCACTCAAAAGGAGTACAGACAAAACAGGAGCAAGACCAGGGCGGCACTATTAGTCCAGCCACTGGGAGAGGCCACAAGGCCAGTCAGGGTAAGATATATATATAAAGGTCTGTACACAATCAAGGTTGTACGCAAAGGAGAGGAGCAAGACCAAGCTGTACACAGTGCCGCTGATGATCTTTAGGCGCAAGCGCCTTCGTAAAGATATCAGCTGTGTTGGCACAAGAGGCCAAGTGTACTACGCGAGCCTGGCGGCACTGCTGTAGCTCGCGCAGGAGGAAGTACCGCAGCTGGATGTGCTTCGCTCTGCCCTCAAGTCGAGGCTCCTGACATAGGAGGATCATGGCCCGGTTGTCAGCGTAGAGGACCGGGGCAGAGCTAGACTGCTCACCTAAGTCAGTGAGCAAGAAGGTCAGCCAGCGGAGCTCCTGTGCCGCCATGGCACCGGCGTAGATCTCAGCCTCGCAGCTGGAGTGGGCAACAGACGAGGAGCGGGTAGCTCTCCACAAAACAGCACCTGAACCAAAGCTAAAGCAGTAGCCCAAAGAGGACCTGAGAGTCTCTGCGTCGTCTGCCCAAGAAGCATCTGTGTGCCCAGTAAGGACCACTGGCCTGCGACCTCCCAGCACTAGTGCCATGCCCGATGTACGTGCAAGATAACGCAGAACCCATTAGCGGCCAACCAGTGCTGTGGTCGGTGTATGCCTGTGGCCACAAAGCGGGCCACGATGCTGAGAGGGTATGCAAGATCTGGGCGAGTGCAAGTCATCAGATACATGACGCAACCCACCAGCTCCGCGTACGGACCACTGGGCTCGACTGACTCCTCAGGAACAAGAGCTTAGAGCCTGTGTTCCACCGGCAGAGGTGTGGGCTGTGCAGAGGAGAACTGAAGACCGAACTGCTGAAGGACCTGGCGCACCAAGTGTGACTGTGAGAGTGTGATGGTGCGCGCTGCTCTGTCCCTGGAGATCTGCAGGCCAAGGTAGTGGCGCAGTTCTCCTAGGTCAGTGCATGTGTGTCTCTTCAACAGCTCTGCCTTCACGACGGCCAGCGCGTCCCAGTCTGCAATAGCGAAAACCAGGTCATCTACATAAACAAGGATGTAGAACAGAGTCTGGCCAGCACGAACGAAGAGCGAGGGGTCTGCAGAGGATCGAAAGAACTGCAGGTCAGCAAGGGTAGCACGCAGCGTGTCGTGCCACTCACGGGGCACCTGTCGCAAGCCGTAGACTGGGCGCCGCAATAGCCACTGGGTCCGAGGAGGGAAGGTACCAGTGAAGCCCTGAAGGCGACACAGGTAGACCTGCTCGTGTAGGCTACTCTGAAGAAGCGCAGTAGAGAAGTCGAGGGAGTGTAACTTGTAGTCACGATGTGCTGCTACGTGTAGCAGCGCCCGAAGAGTAGTCATCTTCGGGGTCGGCGCGAAGGTCTGAAAGAAGTCCACCCCCTCACGCTGACTGAAGCCTCTAGCCACGTAGCACGCCTTGAACACAGGCGGCTCTCCAGGGGGGCGCTTCATCTTGAAGAGCCACCGGCCATCAACTACGTTCACCCCAGGTGGGGGAACTGCGTCGACGTAGGTGCCGGTGGATCTCCAAGATGCCATCTCCTGCTCCATGGCAGCTATCCACTGAGCGGCCCAGGGTCCCAAGGTGGCCTCAGCTTAGGTGCGAGGGGTCGGGATGTCGCAGGCGTCTGGGTCACCCTCAGGGACTAGCAGCGTGGAGCAGAGATGGGGAGCAGCCTCGGACAGGAAAGCAAGCTCGTACTGCGGGTCCTCCAAGACGTCATTGCCGAGGGCAGGAGCACCCCCGACGGACGGAGGACAGGCAGGGTTAGAGACCAGAGTGGTGGAGTTGTCAAGGCGGCAGGTATAGTCAAAGTCAGCAACAGCAGCCACAAGAGCGTCAAGACGCAAAACAGGAACAGACAGGTCGGTAACGAGGGAGGCAAGGACTCGAGGAACAAGAGGACGAGCGGTGCGAAGGAAGTCAGACAGAGGGGGAGGCGCGACAACAAGGGAGGACGGAGGAGGCGACGGCAGGAGGGGAGGACGAGACATGTGGGAACGAAGCAAAATAGGGTGAGAACGAGGAACAGGAGAGACAGGACGAGCCCGAGAGGGACGGCGAGACCAGACGTGGGACGGAGGCATCGGGTCAAGAGACAGAGGAGGAGTAACAGGAGGAGAACGACGGGGAAGGCGAGCCGGAGACGTGTCCGGAGGAGGGAACACAGGGCCGAAAACAGGAAGAAGAGGATACGGTAGAAGAGGGGGAGATGCGCGGTCAGGGGAGGGAAGGCCGAGCAGGCGAAGGGCGGACACAGGCGGCGACTGCTGCGGCGGCGGCTGCACGACGCCGACACCTGGACTGCTAGCTGCTCCACGGCTTCCTCCGGGACACTCCACTCCAACACCCCCAGACGTAACACCCAAAGAAGTAGAAGCTCGCTCCATACCGGGACCACCCCCAGGCCTGCCGGGACAAGCCACGACAGGAGCCCCAGGACTAGCACCCTCCTCAACGCCAACACCCCCAGAAGGAACGAACTGCTGCCACGGCGGCGACAATGGTGGCGGCAGCGGCAGCGGCGGGGACAATGACGACTGCGGCGGCGGCTGCGGCTGCGATGGAGGGCCACCAGAGTCAGCAGACTCCTCAACCGGGACAACCGACGGGAGGGGGGTAACGTGAGACTCACCAGACGGGGCAGGGCGGGGAGGAGGTTGGGCAGGGGCGACCGGGGGAGAAGGGACCAGGAACAGGGGCGGGGGTAACCGGGGGACCACGGTGAGGAAAGCGGCGGTAGAAGGAGACGGACTAGTCAAAGGTGACATCGCGAAAGTGAAAGAAACCGTGGGACGGGGGGTGGTAGAAGTGCCAGTCAGACGAGTCGAGGGGGGAACCTGTGAGAGTACGACCCCGTTACACTATTTTCCCCTTTCCAGATTTCCTTTCTATTTCATTCCTCTTTTTATCCTCATTCATTTGGTCTTTATCTCATCTCATTTGGTTTCCTATTCCTCCTTTTCCATTATCCTTTGGTTTATCCTGTTATTATAATTATATCACCGACCAGGCTTGGGATGTACTGGCGCGCTATATCTAGC